AGAAGCGGTGGTTGGCAAAAGCAATGGCAGCAGATACAAATAGGCAGGAACAGAGACAAGACGACAAGACACTTAAGCCAGGGTAATATGGTCTGAGAAAAATCTAGATTACACAGGGGAGTCTAGATTAACAAACTGGGTACAAAAAGTCAGGGTTGACTGGGTTGAAGAAACAGGTGAGATACAGGCTATACAGAAAAATAGTTAGCAAGGAAGAGTAGAAAACAAACAATCCTGGAAAATGGAAGGAATGTTGGACAATGGAATGTTTAGAAGGAGGCTGATAAAAGTTAAAAAAAGAAGATTAAGAAGGGTGAAAAAACAATATAAGCAGAGAAGATACACAGATCAAATGCATGGAAAGAGTTAGCCAGAGCATGTGCAGTGGTCAAACTAGAAGCATAACACTGGAAAGAAATGGAGATTAAACTCAGAAAGAACCTCAAATTCCAGACTCATGACTGGAAACTTAGGGTGGATTGAAACCCTAACTGGACGGCATTTAGTTTAATAAAGTCCTGTTCATCATAAATAACTGCCATTCTTTTTTTATAAAATATTATTTTTAGACTTCCTGTCTACACGCACACGCTCCAGGGTGAACTGAACATTATAGCTAATTTAGCTCAGGAACAGCTTCCTGATGATGGCAACGGTGAATCACGTTTGTGCAATGCATGTCAGAATGGCTTCTTTTAGTGTTTAGGGAAGTGCCTTGGGTTCAGGTCAACCATGAGTTCAACCCAAACCCAGCCTACAAGTAATTTAGTGGATGAAATAGCCAAATTTGACCAGTTAGCTCACTCGCCTGAACCTCCCACTGATGCAACTGGTAGTTATTCATTTAGAGGGTTATTCACTAATGAGCTGAAGGATCCAGGATCCATCATTCGGCTCACTTCGTCCACTGGAGCTCTTCGGTTCAGTCAAACCGAAGGGCTGCTGTATGGGCTATTCCCTATAGCCCGAACAACAGCCGAAGGCAGCAGAGCGGCTCAGCTGAGCCGAACCCATATACTTCAGCTCGGCTGAGCCATAGTGACACCTGAAGCGTGGAGAAAGGTCATCCGAATGGTCGACCATTTTTCACGTAAATGACAGCTGAGTGAAGCCAGCCGTGATCTCATGGCTCACTCCGCCCAGTTGTAATGACAGATCAGCATCCCCAAATTACCTTGGGAAGCAGATCTCTCATTAAACCATAAGAACTGGGCAGAGGTGCCCGTGACGACATGGCCGGCTCTGCCATGTTGTTATTTATTGGCCCGGGACTTGCTAGAAGACTCTGGAAGGTGTCGGCCAATAGGACACAGTTGGGTGGAGCCAGCGGTGATGTCACCACTAGCTCCTCCCAATTGTTTATATTTTGCCGTCATCTGTCAGATTCAACATTATGCGGCTGGAGTTTGTCGTGTGCAGGCGGGTCGGCGGCGTGCATCATTTTTTTTCTTTTATTTAAAATATTTGTATTATTTTCTTAATTTGTAAAAATGTTCCTATTTTTTTACGTTTTTAAAATAATTTTTTAACATTTTTATTTTCATTCATTTAACTTTTTTTAATTCTGCTAGCTACCTCGGAGATAGCGAGCAGAATAGCACAGCCGTATGCTGCTTGGCGGCATTCGGCTATTCACTATGAGAATAGGGGCGAACAGCAGCAAGTGAGCTCCCTTAGCTCCCTTGAGTCGAACTCCTTCTGCATTTCTGCTCAGCCAAACATACAGAGCATGTTCGGCTGACCAAAGGCAGCCAAAGTATGACTGATTTTAGCCAGTGTATGGCCGTACAAGGCTAGACTGAAGTGAAACAGCATTTGGCTCACTTCACTTCAGCTTGGTTATTCACTAGCCTGCCTTTGGCCCATAGTGGTGACATCACTTCTGCCACTAAATGACAGCATCCTGCCACCTAGTTTCTTATTGTTAGCAAGCCACCAGGAATCCCAGCGATGTCATTGAGTTGGCATTGTTTATGTATTTATTTAATAAAGGACTTTCTCTACTTTGTGTTTTTATTTACTATTTAACTTGTTTGTGAATGAGTAATCAAGTAAAATAAAATACCCTGCACTCATTCATGTGGGGGGGAAGGATAGAATTATTGATGCCCCTTATTTTAAAGGGGGCTTCCAGATTCGGATTAGTTCCCCTTACATGCCCCCACATCCACCAAACCAAAAATATTGGAAAAAACCATTTGCTTGTCCCCAATATGGGGACAAGGTGGCTTACAGTGGGGAGGCTTTGCCCCCCCCGGAAAGTACCCCCTAATGTTAGGAGCATGTGGCCTGGTATGTATTTTTGGGGGGGGGGGGGATTCACCCCTCCTCCCTCTCAGCCAGGCTTCATGGATAAGGGTCTGGTATGGATTTTGATGGGGATCCCACACCAGCTATCCATTGTCCCTTTTTAACAAAAGTTTGCAAATTACCTTGAAAAATACCATACAAAATTACATGATTCGGTCCCCATAGACTTCAAATGAGTATGGGTGCTATGTGGTTTGCGCAATTCCCCTAATGTCCAGGGACCCAAATGAGGTCCTGTCCACTCATCCCTAGTAGTGTCCACCAGAGGCACAACGAGCAGGGTGGCAATACAGGAGCACACTTAGTAGAAGGTTGTCACCCCAAAACTGAAAGTGCCTGAACAAGTAAAACCAGATATTATTTTACTGAAAGTTTTACATATTTGAAAAATGACATTAGCAAGGTAAAGTGTAATCTGAGCAATAGTCTGTGAATGTATAATGTCATGTAGAATAAACAATGCAAGGATAATTATATTAAAGTTACATATTCAAAGTTAGAAAGATTCAGCTCCCACAGACTTCAAAGGGGGTACAGGTGCTATGTTCTCACTGTGCTTGACATATGTAGAGTGAAGCAAACTTTGCCCTGTTCACTCATCCCTAGCATCCACTAGAGGCACATAGAAAGGGTAACAACACAACGGCACACTTAGGAGATACTGTAGCTATCACCCCATAACAGAAAATGCCTGAACAAGTATCAACAGGTAGTAATATAATGAATGCTTTATATTTGACATTTTTTAAAATTATATTTAAAATGATATTAACATGTTAAAGCATATATTAGTGCCTGGATTTAGATCAATGTAAAGTGTAATCTGGGCAATAGCCTGTGCATTTACATTATAATGGCATCCTAGAATAAAACCATGAGAGAAAAGTTATATTCAAGGTACATATTTTTTTAATAAATAATTATTAGAGTTTAGTCCAGAATAGTACTGGTACTCGGTATTTGCAATGCCCAGTATTTCACACACTTTTGAACTAAGCTAAACATAGAATTACAAATCAGTAAGACTCCAGCTTATCTAATCAGCATACAGCAAGTTCCCCAAACATACTTAAACTATTTGGCAATGCAGTTCCTATTATTTTCTTTTTAGCTGTCATGTAATTGAAAGACACTTGCAACTAATGATTCAATTTTTAACTACTGACAGCAAAAGGGAATTGACAGACCTACAACATTAAGATGGGTGAGGTTCATGAGACATCCACATGAACTCTTGTGTAATTGATTGTGTAAAAAAACTTGGCCTTAGCCAGCTATTTTAAAATAGTTTTTTTTCTTAAACTATCCATATCTGTACAACACACAATCATTCTGTACACCGATCATGGCATAAACTTGTACACATATATTTATATATATTTGTATTTATTTTACCATGATTAGATGGCCAGAGATTGCCTGCAGAGTTTCTAGAGTACTCACAGAAATGTAATTATTTCTTGATTCACTTGTTATCGGCTAGATCAGCAAATATTCATCTAATGTGTGTAGGTAGTCTTACTATGCATTTTTTTTAAATTTCTACATTCATTAACTAAATGCATATTTGGCATACCTTTTTATTAAATATCACTTGATTTACCATTTATTCTACATTTTCCTTGCAGAATATAATGACATCTTTGTGACATGTGGGCCACAGGAAATTGAACTGTCTGTTTACCTGTGCCCAGTGTACTTTTCTGGTTATAATGAAACTCAGCTTTACATGAATGATATTTTTTCTAACATGGCCTGCCAAGGAACAATCGATTTATCATCCAGCACAGTACCTTTACTGAAATTTGTTTTTTCAATCAATGACAGTTCAAGTTGTGGCAGTTCATTTCAGGTAAGACTCAAATTTACCTTCAGAACATTTCATAACAGTATTAGCATCACTGCATGTTCTAAAAGGATAATTTACTAGAATATTGTAAGTGGTATTTGAAGCCAAATATCCCTTGTAATCTTTCAGTTGTTCAGCTTTTTATTTTTTTTTGTTAAAATGAGCTTTATGATTTATGGGAACAAGACCAAAACAGACTGAGCTGATTTACTTAATGCATGTATCTTCAAACTTTCAGCAGTTTGTTCCAAAAGGTTTACACAATTTTTAGTCCCTGAAAATCTGTGCCACATTCTACTAGGTTACCTTGCATATTCACGCATCTTCCTCTGTACCTGACAACCTCTTCTCACATCTACTCAGGTGGGGCTATGTCATCAATCGCAGCACCTACGTAAAAGCACCAAACAGCACAAGAGTTACAATTTTCAGGATGAACTGGTGCTAGACACTTCCTCCGTATGCTGCACCAGGTGTAGTCACTGTGCACTGGGGGCTGATCTTATTAAGGGCCAATGTCAATATTATAATTTATCACAGTCATAGAGGGTGTGTTTGTCTACTACCAGTGTTTTACTTGTTTGCTATCTTTGTTGGAGAAAACCTAACAGTAGTTTTTCCTCAAACTTCTAATTGAGTAAAGTGTACAATTCCATGTACAGTATGTCTTTCAACTTCGGCAAGCTGCCTGTGAAATCAAAGGTCCTCAAGGTTTTTTTTGCTATATGCATTTAATTCAGTTGTCAATAGGGGGATAATGAACAGTTACATTCATGATGTTCCAAAGCCATATGTAAAACACATGGCAAAACTAGTGTTATAAAATAGTTTATATATTTAATGTTTATAGATGGAGACATATGTATGGCAGGGTATTAATACAATGCTAAACTAGTAAATATTATGATGATAATAATATTGTCTAAAGTAATAAGAAAAAAAGAAACACTAGAAAGAAGTGATACATCAAAAAGCTGACAGGGTGGAAAAAAGCAATACAAGATTTATTTTGGTTATACAGATGGAGACATTTGCATGGCAGAGTATTAAAAAAATGCTAAACCAGTAAATAATATGATGATAATAATAATAATAATAGTAATATAATCAGAAGTAATCGGAAAAGGAGAAACAATAGAAAGTAATGATACATCAAAAAGCTGACAGGGTGGAGAAAAGCAGAAACAAATTATTTTAGTTATACATTATCTGTTTAAGTAAATAAAATGCAATAGGCCCTTAGCCCATGAAATAAAACTAAGGCAGCTATTATAGCTACCAAAATAAAATGTATATATCCTTGATATATACTGTATATTATAAAGGGTAAGACCATGTTCTCCTGAACAG